CTCATTTGGGTACTCCAGGGTCTAGCAGTGCCCATAATGGCATATATTCACTTGCCACACCAGAGTTCAAACTTCTGGCATTTGATGTTGTGGTACTAGTTAAGGCCTGCTAAATCAAATGCCAAGGGTGGCTTCGGTCGGCCCCAGTACTCCTTGCAGGCACAAGGAGTAAGGGGAGCTGACAGGAGCGTTTGCTCCCCTTGGCCTCCCTCTGTGAAGATGGAGCCAAGCTTGGTTTAAGGTAAGCTGACTCCAGCTACGTATTTTACATAGCTGGAGCTGCAGACCTTAACCTGACCTTCGAGGTCTAGGTCAGACCCAACAGATAGGCAGGGAGGGAGGAGAGATGGAGTGATCCCTAAAAAGCCTAAATCTGGGTCTCTGGAAAGTACAAGAAATTCTCCTCTTTGTAATTCTTTTCAGGTGTAATGGTTCTGCAGTGCTGGGAAGAAGATCAGGAGACTTAGTGCTCTTTGACTTGTCAGAAAGAGCATGACATCTGATCCCGATCTGGGAGCTTTGCACATTTCATCCATTTCTCCGGGGGCAGGGGAGGAAGTGTGTCCTGTTGTCCAAAGAAGTGAGCTGCTGCTGTTCATTTGTATTTACAAACATTCCTTGGATTTTTCTGCTGCTTCACTATGAGCTCTGGGAAATGCAAGCTGCTCCTATTAACTCTTTTACAAGTGTAGCATGTTACCCCTGTATATTAGGCAGGTGACGTATACCTCTTACACTGCCAAACAGACATCCTGCGTCTTGATGCTCTGTCGATTCCATGGGGAATGTATATTTGAAATAGCATTACCAGAGGCTGCGGCTGGCTTTGGGAAACAGAGGATTCAGCATGACAGTTAAGGGTTAATGCTTAATTGCTCCACTTCCGTGAGAGCAACATGCCTGTGTCAAAATGTGCACCTGTCAGTCTGCATGGAACAGCGAAAGATAGGATCGACCGCTTACAACATTCCACCTGGCTAGCGCAATTTTTCTGCATACTGGACTTCAAGAATTGTAACCTTATTACTGGACTCATATCGAAAAGGCAAAGTCACAAACAGATCCTTTGGAAAATGAGCATCTGCATAGGAGCACAACCAAAGAGAGGCTTAATTAATTTAATGGCATCAAAACCAGGCAATTCACAGATTCCAAACCCAGATGGCACCATTGTGATCATCCAGTCTGACCTTCTGCATAACACAGGCCAGAGACCTGCTCCAACATAATCCCAAGAGCAGAGCTCTTAGGAAAACATCCAGGCTTGATTTAAAACTAGTCAGTGATGGAAAATCCACCATCACACTGGGTGTACTCTTCCAATGGCTAATTACTCTCACTGTTCTACATTTGTAACTTGTTTGCAGTTTGAATTTGTCTAGCTTCAACTCCCAGCCTTTGGCTCATGCAATCTTGTTCCAAATGAAATCCATCAGCGGTAGCCTGTATCTTCAGAATGAAAAGGCAAATTTCTCGATTACTTTTTCCTAGCTAGAATGGGCAATGCTTGTGGGATACTCATCTTCCATTCATCATGCACGCTGCACACACCACCTTAGGATCTGTACGTTTTTTGCTAAGTTTTTATTTTAATTCAAGGACTTTGCTTCATACAAAATGTAATTGTAGAAACAACTGCAGAATTCAAAGTTTGGCTGATAAATATTACTCAGGCAGCAAACTAGGCAATCACAGAACCTTTTTTTTTTTTTTTTGGTAAAGTTCCAGTTGTGTTGCATGGTTGGAACTGTTATCATTTTAACACTGTTTTTTAAATATAAAGTTTTGCAACAAACCCCCAATTTATATCAAATATAATTAAAAATTAACAACTGATGAATACATTGTATCAAAAAAGTACGAAGATAAACATTTTCCATGCACATACTTTATATATATATGTATATATTTTACATGCAAACATTACTTATTCAAAGTACAGCCACTACGAGACTGGTTCTGGATGCAGAAAACTGGTTGGTGCAATTCAAGTTTGGCAACTCACTATGAGAATTCTGGGAGAGATGTGTGTGGCTAAGAGACAGCGCCAAGGCTGTAAAAAAATATGCAAAAGGGGTTATGAACAACGGTGGTCAGGCTCTCCTGTCCTTGTCGTTTGAAGAAACCCCCGCAAGAGAAGAGTCGGTGGTAGACAACAACGTTCTTCTTCGTGGTCTATACTAGTTAAAAGATCCAATGCCATCTATTTCTGTGAGATTCCAGCCATCTTATTTATATGAGATTGTGGCTTTTAGTAGCTAAAAGGAGGCAGGAAGTGGAAAGGCAGGGGCGGAGGAAAAGACAAAAAATTGTAATACAGAGGAACATTTCCTTTCACTTTCTAGTGTGGATACGAAGGTTGCATGCACTATCAGCCATACTGATTTTCCCCCTTGACTTCTTGGAGTAAAATAGTAATGTTTTCTTTAAAATTTCAAAGAAAGTGTTTGTGCCTTCATATAAGGAAAATGTATAAAACATTTGGTCACAATCATGCTGAAGCCTGAATCAGGAAAATCCAGCAGGTAAAGCTACAGAATGGATGAAGGTCTTTTTGTTTGTTTTGATTTGTTTCCTTAAGTGTCATCTTGTTGCATAGCCCTACAGTTAAAAATTACATCCATTATCCATAATGTACCTCTCAGCTAAAGCACTTCCTTTCCTCAAAGTGCACAGATAAATAGACATAGAATAGAGATGAGTTATCTTTTAGCAGAATCCAGGGATGAGATTGGCCGGAGCTTCTAAAACAAAACAAAGTTCTTTTCTCCCTCCCGCTCAACATAAAGGTTCAAGGAGATGTGGACGATCACCCAATACCTGTCCTGCTCCCCTCCTGAGACTTTGCCGATAGTGGTAGATGCCTTCTTCTGAGCCATTTTCTGAAATGTGTGATACCCTCCCCCCTGGTAACCCAGCTACAAACCAAAGCCGGGCCCAACACTTTGCAAGCGCCAGCTCATTCTACAGTCTTAGTGTCCTATGGCTTGGTCACTGTCTCAGACCTATTCCCTGCCAGCATTCTTTCCAATGCCTCTTTTGTTTGGCATTGCTGGGTTTTCTGTTTGCCTCCCTCACCATTCTTTAACCCTTCTCCCAACATGCCATGCCAAACCCTTGGCCACAGCCTCTCCAACGGTGGCCACCCAGCAGTTCTTCCAGCCCATCACTGGCAGGTCTGTTCCTCTTTTTCTTTAGCACTTATCCCCCCTTCTTGTCACTGTCTTCTCCCCAGGCTCCAAACGCAGAAATCTGCATTCACGCACAAGAAGGAAATGATCCAACATAAAAATACAGAAATCTCATCCCTGAGAGTCAGATTTTTTTTCAACAGGCAATAAAAACAAGGCTCTCTCCAACCCGCCCTCGAGACGAACTACGCACCATGAAACGTTGCCAGAGCTTTCACAACCAAGTTAAGACTAGACATGCAATGTGAAAGTCTCTGATTTTTTCTATAAAAGCATTGCCGCTAATGCTGTACTTTTACCTGCATTTCTCCTGTAGGAGCCTAAATTTCTATTCAACGAGAAAAGGCTGATTCTGTTTGCCATGATCATTCGCCACCCATTTCCCAATCAAATTTACTTTACGCTCCCTTTGTAAGTTTCCAATCCGGCTACTTGAAAACACTGTTCAGAAAACATACGTGTGGCATTGTATGCACAGCAGAGATCTGAGACAACCCCATTTTCCAGGCTCTTTCTCTCCCCCTCCCATTTTCTCAAGTTCTGATGCGTTGAAGCAAGAGGGTGCATCATCGCTGTGAGAGATTTCAAAGGTTAGGCACTTAGTAGTGAACAACTGGAGCATTCAATAGAAACAGTGGGACCTGGAATGACAATTGGACTAATTCTCTACATAAAGTTTTTTTTTCTTTTTTTCTTTTTTTTACTGTACAATTTACAAAAATGCACACAATGAAAAGTTAAAGTTCTATCTAATAGCTTGATAGAAAACCAATTACATTTCTCCTTTCCACCGCCCACTTCTTTTTTTGTTTGTTTTTTGATTTTTTTGCTAAATCAAGCTTATACTGTAAACAAGACAAAATCGTGAGGGCATGTTGCAATTGACAGGAGATGAGGGGACAGAAATAAAAGTCCCAGCAGCAAGGAAACAGTCCTTACAAAGTAGCTTTATCGGGTGTCAGTGTGAAGGACTCGATGTGGAGAAATAAAAGAAATCCACAGAGCAGCGTGTTGAAGCAGAGAATCACGGACAACACGGGGCTTTATCAGAGTGAAGGTTTGTTACTGGCTCCAATGAAAACGATTGCTGTTGTTGAACATTGAGTCAAAGGATTCTCCTCTGTTCTGATTTGGGGCTCTCCTCTCCCAGTGCATTAGGCAGATCTCTTCCTCTTATTGTTTGAGCGGGATAAAATACAGGCTCTATTTTATACAAGAGTGTTTAATTTCTATCCCCCATACTCACTCTGAGCAGAAAATTAAAACAAAACCAACCAACCACCCAACAAAAATTATGGATCGATGGTTCTTTTTTGGCCGTCCAAGTTCCGACCTTCCCACAGCGCTGTGCATACATTGCAGATTTGGCATCTGGTGTATGTCATTACATTAGACAAGCCAGTAGGCAGGTGAGAGAGAGAGAGAAAGAGAGAGCGAGAGAGAGAGAGAGAGACCATTCCCTTCACAATAATGATCGTCCTTGTTTATTTACTTTGTCTAGTGCAAAAGGAAAAAAAAGAAGAAAGAAAAGACGGGCTGAACAAGCGTCTCAGATGGTGTTGGGCTTGGGTGGGGAGCAGTTCTCACCAGCGGCTGGGTGTTCCCCCCCCCCCCCCCCCCCCCCGCCCCCCGC